CACACACACACACACACACACACTAAATGTAAAAAATTTAAAAAGGAAGTGTATAGAGGTTTTCTAAAAACTACTTTTCTAGTTGCTACACTGTTGGTTTCACTTTACACTTTTGTCTCACTATGCATCCTAGACCAGCCTCAAACTTCTGAGCACTCATGGTCTCCCTGCCTCAGTCTCTTTAGTAGCAGGAACTAAGGTACCTGGGGCATGTGGTGGCCCTCAGAGCAGAGAACTTGCTATGGCCCAGTCCTTTGTATAAGAGAGACCCAGGCTGGGAGCCGAAGGACACGGGTCATTCGAACTCACGACCAAGTCTATGCTCCTCATTGCAGACCCTCACCTTCATCTGAAGGGGAAAGTGTAATTTGAATCAAACCAAGTAAGGAATGTGTGAGCAGAACTGGGCATAAGGACACAGTGACTGCAAGTTCCAGGCACTCAGAAGACTGGGTCAGGATTGCCTGAGCCCAGGGATTGTGATTTGCCAAATGTAGCGAACACACAGTGCTGACGGTACTGAACTAAGCCTCTCCTGTGGTAAATCAAGGCAGTCAAAATAGCTGGACTAAGTAAGGTTTGAAAGCTTAGAATTTTAATGTCACCCCAGGAAAGAAGAGCAATGCCCAAATAAATATTTGAACATTTCCCCCATTCTCAATAGGTCAAGCTTCACATTGAACAAAGAGAAGGATCAGAGCCCTCACTCTGGGAACCTGCTCATGTGAATGGTAAAGACAAGCACGTAGGTATTTTCAGTGATGTACACACAAAGAACCATCAAGGAAGAGGGAGGTCATGGTGAGGTATTTCCTACTGATATAATTGATGATAGCAAAATTATTACTAAGTAAAGGGACCTTGACCTTTGAAAAAGCATATGTTAACAATGAAATGGAGCAGCCGAATATTTAGCAAGCAGTCCTGACGGGATTCTGAACAGACTCGGGCAGGAACCTGTCTGAGAGGTTTTAGCTCTGGCTCGGCAACAGTGCATGCTACCTTTACCCCCATATGTGGACTCACTTCCAGACAGCTCACAGAAACCACGCCGTCATCTTTTAACTTCACCACAAAGCCTGGCTAGGAAGCTGTTGCTCCACAGTAGTTCAACCTTAAGTAGTTTCTCCTCAGAGTAAAACTCACAGAAAGAGACAGATGGAGCAGAATTTACCGAAAACAAGCAGGTGGATCAAGAAATCCCACAGCGACTGTCTACTGTAAAATTTCAGGGCTGGAGTTGCAGCTCAGTGGTAGCGTGTTTGCCTAGCAGGCAGGTACAAGACTCTGGGTGAAACCACCAGCATGGGAGGGAGGGGAGGAGGGAGGATGGAGGGGAGGGAGGGTGGACAGGAAGGAAGGGGAGGAAGGAGGATGGGAAGGAAGGGAAGATGGGGAGGAAGGAAGGGGAGGAGGGAGATGGGGAGGAAGGAGGATGGGGAGGAAGGAAGGGGAGGAGGGAGGATGGGGAGGAAGGAAGAAGAGGAGGAAGGAGATGGGGAGGAAGGAGGAAGGGAGGATGGGGAGGAAGGAAGGGGAGGAGGGAGGATGGGGAGGAAGGAAAGAGGGGAGGGAGGATGGGCAGGAAGGAAGGGGAGGAAGGAGATGGGGAGGAAGGAAAGAGGGGAGGGAGGATGGGCAGGAAGGAAGGGGAGGAAGGAGATGGGGAGGAAGGAAAGAGGGGA